GGAATCATACAATGGTCAAAACACCAACACCAGTACTAATAATACAAAGAAGTTTCAGGTTGAGCCCTGATTATGAAAAAGAATCACAGTTTTTTTTCCCCCAGAGGAAGAGAAACATCAACAAGTACATAGAAAATTGTAATGCAATTGGAGATTGACATATCTTTTATTTATATATTGTAATGCAACGGGGGCTCAGGCGGGCGCCCTTGCCGCATCTGGTCGGCCCCATCCCGACTGAGGCTCGAACCCGGGACTTCCGCGTCTCTCTGCAGTGACCTAGCCCCGTGAGCTAAAGAGAGATCTCTCTGCAGCCCAGTAGCTGTAGTCCTGCTATCACAGGGAAGGGCGGTGATGTCACCTGCTCTGGTACGCTGGCTCTTACACAGTACCTGTCGGCCGTAAGCGTTACAATATGTATACTGTATTACAAATTTGCATGTAATATAGAAGCTATTTAGTGATATTTGAGGTGCTCATAAAAAGGCTACAAGAAAAATTGATGCTCTCCAGAGTTTCAAGATAAAAGAAGGTGTTCTGGTGCTAAATGCATGATTTTAAATTCGGCAATTGCCGTTGCCTTCAAAGGAAAGCCTTCAACCAACAATGTGCTGGAAGTGCTAAGATATTGATGTGGAAACTAATGACTTAAAGTAGCAAGGAAAGGTGTACTGTATATTTGAAATAACAAAAACACAAGATTGGGATGCATCTCAAATACGAGTATATCCCATCACTGTACGAAGAAAAAGGCTATAATGGCAATGGCGCAAGGCCACCACATGGATCACCATTGGACTAGTGAAAGAATAAACTAAAACATGATCGACAAGATCCCTGTACTTACTATAGGTGAGAAACATTATGAAATCTGTACATTTGCAGGAGCAGACCAGATGAGAATACCCAAAGTCAGAACCTTAGGGGGTAATCATCCAGTACTGAAGAAATTAAGGCTGTTGATGATGGTGATGACATTATTACATGAGGGATGTGAGGGATGAAGGCTCAGTTTAAAAAGGTGACAGAAGACAGGTCCTCTGTGGATCACCTTGAGAGAGATAAGGCAGAAGGAAGCATCCGACCGAGGGACAAATAAACTTTTCAAGGACATTTTGAAAGTGTGTAGGAGAGGAACTGCAGAGAGACTGGATTTTTGCTATTTTAGATGCCGGTTAGCAAATTATCTGCCAGAAGAATGACAGTAAGAGACTGTGAAGACATCAAGGTATCAGTTCAAACAGGAGGTTTTTGGTTTGTTTTATATTCCCTGCACTGTAAGTGAATGTATACTTCACCACTGTGTTTGTGTGTCTGTTTACTGAGACCCACCCATTAAAGATCCCATTGTAACTCATAAATTACAATATATGACTCCAGAGAAATATTGCCTTCAGTTTGCTGTTCAATATGAAGTTCTATTAAATGACACAAGGCACAAAAATGTTTATCCACAACAATGGGATGGAAAACAAATGTTGTCCCATTAAAAGTGCTGCACAGTAATTAAAACATCATGCAATGATGCAGAACAGCTGCATGATGAACATCCCACAGAAGTGTAACACCATTAAGAAATCTAGGATTTCAACATTAATCTATTCTCTCTGTAGTTTCCTTCTGAGAAGTTATCCACTGAGGAAAAAAAACTGCATCTTGCCACACTGTACATCAAACTTCTGCTTGCCATCTTCCTACAGGAAATTCCACTTGAAATCCTATAGGAAATCTTGCTGGTTGATGCATGTCCATAATTCAGATAAAGTACAGCAGCTGCACCATATATGCTGAAATGATATGTAACTCTTGTTCCCAAGGGCACTAGGGGTATTGCAGAGACAAAATGAATTACTGCACTGTGCTCAAAGCACCTCCAGGGCATGAAAACCTTGCTAAGGAAACTGTTACGTACCGTTAAGTAACGTGTCACAGGGGATGGTACCTTCAAAAGTGATGATTCCTGTATTGTTTTAATATTTCACTACCACCCAGACAATTCCTTCATTAAAACCATGTAAGTTTTTAGTGACTTTTCCTGGGGATATGTTCCTGTAATAAAGTAGGAAAAAAGATCAATTCTTAATTATTATGCTGATTATTTATTAAAAAATGAAATTATCCAAGCAAGCATCCTACCTTTAGTAACTAGTTAGCACAACCTGGCCATTTATGTTTTATATGTAAAAATCTATTTTGTGCTGATATCACTATTAAAAAAGAGATACAATAATTCAATAATATTTTAAAATAATTTTAAAGGCATTTTTCAGGTATTCAAAGATTCTTGTAACCTGAGAGAATATTTTCTATTTAACATATATTTTCGCCTAATATAATGTAGTTTGTATTCTTTTCTAATATGTACAGCACATATTTACCTATGAAGTAATAATTCATAGATACTGATGGAAAAAAAATGCAACACCTCCTCCTTCACACTGGCCCTCCTGTCTGCGTGGAAAAGGCTGAAGAGCGACTCATCTGTGAAGAGGACCATCAGGTCCACTGCTGACGAGTCCATCGCAGCCTGTGTCTGGCCCAAGCCAGTCGGGTGTGACATCTAGGAGGTGTGAGCAGAGGGCCTCTGACAGGTCGCCTTGCTCTAAGGCCAGCAGCATGGAGCCTCACTATCCTGTCAGTGATGTGGGCATTGTGTCTGCTGGCAATTTCAGCAGCAGTACGGGTGACAGATCTAAAACAATCTCTCAGATGGACCAGTCTAACGTGTCGGTCCTGCTCTGGTGTGGTCACTTGAGGGCGACCAGATCTTGGATGGTCATCTGTCCTGCCGGTCTGCTGAAACCTTCTCTGCAGTCGGGACACAGTGGAGCGGCTCACTCCATAGTGTCTGGCAACGCTGGCACATGACATGCCTGCCTGCAGCATGCCAATGGCCCTCTCCCTTGCTTCTGATGACATTCGAGATGTTATGGAATGCACAGAAAACTGACTTAATGTGGCCTTTTTCTTGCAGTGACCTAAGCTTTTAATTAAGCCTTTTTTAAAGATGACCTGATCAGGCATTGTTTCACCTGGACCTCGTTGGGTAAAAGTGCACCTAACGAGCTTTCGTGTGATTGGCAAGTTGCAATGCCTCACTGCACAAGCTGTATTGCTGGTCAGAGGACTTAAAACAAATTGACAACTTTTTGTGAAAGTGCATAAGCTATAACTTTAGTATTCACATTCCATAAAATGTTGTGTTTCTTTTTCCCCCATCAGTATACTGTATATTACTGTATATCTAGGTTAGGTCTGAAGTTAATATCAGTAACTGTGATGAAATATAGTTATGTATAAAACTAATTATCTCAACATCCAATCAGAACCAAAAAAATGGAAACCGTCATTCCATTTGTTTGCAAATGAAAAGTAATTGTAATTGTATATGCTAACCGCTAGCTTTGCCTTTACATGCATAAAAAGGTGGAATGAGAAGTTACACAGGTACGTGACAGTTTCTTCAAGTACTGTAACTAAAATTCCTATTCATACCCATAATGCATATGTATTTACACTGTACCCTACTAAGCATTTGAGTTTGGGAAAAACAATGTGGTTTCTAAACCTTAAAACTGTACTTATATTTAATACACAGTATAGAGTGTATATACTGTACATATACTGTATACTGTATAAATTATTCCACCTTATAATAAAAATAACCCATGTAGTGAAACATGAAGCATGGAAATAAAGGATTTATTTCAAGGACTTACTTTGATTCAAGGACCTCCCCTTGTTTCCTTTCTACTTTGCACGCTTTCGAAGTTTTCACTGCACTGCCTCACAGCTCTTTGCTTTTTGGGGATAATACTATAAATTATAAAACACATACAGTACCGTGTGAATCACAAGACAAAAAAGAAAAACCACATGGAAACGGAATAAAAACCAAAAAACAGGGAAAGCACTTCTTTCTGAAAAGCACAGCCTTGGTGTTGAAGCCAGATTAATGAACTACTAACTACCAAGTGGGATACCCATGCTATGTGGCCGTCTCGGATTCATAACCTTTCTTATGTTCCTCAGCATCGAGCTCTGAAGTCACACTTCGGCTCCCTTCATTGCCTACAGCTGCTTTCCACTCAGTCCTTATCCTGATTGAGCTGTAATCATCTCTTTTTTTGCAATAATTCCTGCAAATCAAGTGACCTTTCATAGACAAGCTCAGGGAAACACGCAAGAAGACAAGTATCATACAGTTTGGTGAAGGTGAAGGTAGGAGATTGTGACTCTTTTTTCAGACTATTTTTACAACAGTAGGTTATTGCTAGTGATTCTTTTAAATCAAATGTCAGACAAACAAATAACAAATAATGAAAAGTCAAGGATGCAGATTCCTCTATTTTGCGGTCTTACAGATATGTAAAAATAAAGATAAAAAAGCAGGTCTTATTATTTTAGTTGCAAGTTGTCACCAGCAAATTTCTGCAGTTTCCAAAACAGTCTCCAAAACTGCTATGGAGAATATGCAGAAACTGTTTAAGCATGGCATTTACTCTCATCCACTGTAAGTACACCAGTTCCCCTGGACACATAGGGGTTTAATTCTGCACGTCTTTATGTAACTTGAATTTTATGTACAGTAAGTTGGAAGCAACACTTGCTTAGCCGTTGTGTGAACACAGATAACTACCATTCATAGTTTTTACAGTGATACTCCCTTATTTACCCGATTGTGTCAGTGAGAGATTTAGGGGAGACAGGAGAACATGATCACCAGGGTTTATTCACACTGAACGAATTCTCTTTCAATAATCTTTTTTACCAATAGGTACCTGCAAGTACACATCCAACACCACACTCATTCAAGGCCCCTCAGGACAATTCCGGATCACCTGGATGGCATCTAGTACCTCCAGCAACCTTATTTACTGTATCTCTTGCAGTAAATGCACAGCCATCTACATTGGAGAAACAGGAAGGAGACTCAGACACCGCTTCAGAGAGCACGTCAGGGCTGTGAAGATTAAAGATCTCTCCAAGCCCATTGTTTCTAATTTCACCTCTGACGGCCACGACCACTCTAATCTCTCCATCTGTGTTCTCAAAGATGGTTTTCCGAACTCATACATCAGAAAGACTATCAAAACCAAACTTATCCTGCAGCTAGGATCAACTTATCCTGCTGTACCTTCCCCCTTCTCTTAACGACAGACTACTCTTCTTTTAAATTTTCTCCATTCATTGGAAGTTTCATTTCACACCTCTTGGCCTCTCTCCCCTCCTCCCTCCCAGCCTTTGTTCTCCCGCTACATTACTTTTGCCTACTGCCTTGTCTCTCTCACACCTGAAGAAGGCTCCACGGCTGAAACATTGTGTTTTCTTTCTTCTTTTTTTCAGTATGGAATAAACCTATTACTTGTTCCTTTGCAGCCTACGCATGCTGACGC